TCCCAGAGAAGGGACTCCATCTGATCCTGCTTTGACTCTACCTCTTTATTTCTCAATCCCCTGTCACCTTCCCTTGGGACCAGACTGATCCAGCCACACTGGTTTCAGCAGAAAGATGTATATCTGTGCCTGGAGTTGTGGGTAAAAGTATTTGCTATTCACCATGGACCAAGACTGAAGCATAAAGAGAGGGTTAAAAATGTTTCCCTTCCCTAATACTAGAAAGAACACACTTTCTGTTCCACATAGTGTATTGGGAGAATTTGATTTCAATGCTGGATCCTTCTCTTGGGTTGCCATGGTCATGAGAGAGTGAAGAGACAGAAAAAGAAATTTAGTGCTACCCAGAGATGCAGTGTTTCAGGAGGAAGTAACAAGATTTCCCTCTCAGAAGAACCAAGCTTGCCAGGGCTTTGGTATTACACAGGGGCTAAGGAGGGGGTCTTTGAGCTGAATGATTTATCTGAGCAGTCCTTATACTGTTGCCAGTGTGTTAGAATGAGAGGAGACCAGCGTCTAGTACTGACAAACAAGTTTACATTTTCTACCCCCAGTCTCATGTCAAGGGACACTGGGAGTTTTATATTACTGCTTCCTGCAGTGCCTACAAACAGATGCTGCCATCAGGACCCATGAAGATGACACATAGCAATATCTTTGTACTGACTAAGGACAGAGTCATCACCCTTTGGAGCCCCTGACAGTTATGTTCAACATGAGATGAGTGACTAAATCAAGCTGGCTGTGAGTATAGGGCAGCAGCTAATTTCCTAGCAGGGCATGCAGCCTGTGGGGGAAATAATGTTCACTTCTCCTCTAACCTGCCATCCAATGTTTAATAGTCTTGGCATGTGATGGAAATGTAACTATATTGGGTCTCCAGCCTGCTCTGTGGTCAATCAATATTTCACAAAGGGGGCATGAACATAAAATGGAGTAAAAATAGCCTCTTCAATAAATGGTGTTGGGGAAACTGGACAGACGCATGCAAAAAATGAAACTAGACCACCAACTTACACCATACACTGGAATAAACTCTAAATGGATAAAAGACTTAAATATAAGTTGTGACACCATAAAAGTCCTAGAGGAAAACAAGCAGGAAATTTTCAGATATCCAACATAACAACAGTTTTGCCAATATATTTCCCAGGGCAAGGAAAATAAATGGAAAGAATAAACAAATGGTAGTACATCAAATTAAAAAGTCTCTGTATGGCTAAAGAAACCACCATTACAATGAAAAGGGATCTAAACATATGAGAGAACATATTTGCCAGTGATACACTGAACAAGAGTTTAATCCCCAAAATATATGAAGAACTTGTACAACTCAACATCAGGAAGACAATCCAATTAAAAAAATGGAAATAGGCCCTGGATGGTGTGGCTCAGTGGATTGAACACTGGCCTGCAAAGCAAAGGGTTGCAGGTTTGATTCCCAGTCTAGGGCATATGCCTGGCTTGTGGGCCAGGTCCCCAGTGGAGAACACGTGAGAGGCAACCACACATTAGTGTGTCTTTTCCTTTCTTTCTCTCTCCCTTCCCCTCTCTCTAAAAATAAATAAATAAAATCTTTAAAAAATGGAAATAGGACCTGAATAGACACTTCTCCAAAGAGGATATACAGATGGCCCATAGACATATAAAATGATGTTCAACATCACTAGACATCAGAGAAATGCAAATTAAAATCACTATGAACTATCACCTCACACCTGTCACAATGTCTATCATTAATAAATCAACAAACAATAAGTGTTGGAGAGGATGTGAAGAGAAGGGAACCCTAGTACAATGTTGGTGGGAATGCAGACTGGTACAGCCACTGTGGAAAATAGTATAGAATTTCCACACACAAAAAAAAATGGAATTGCCTTTTGACTCAGCAATTCCACTGCTGAGAATATACCCTAAAAATTCCCAAGTCATCAATTCAAGAGAACCTATGCACCCCCATGATCATAGTGCTATTTACAATAGTCAAGTGCTGGAAATAGCCAAAGTGTCCATCAGTAAACAAGTGGATCAAAAAACTGATACATTTACAGAATGGAATACCACACAGCAGAAAGAAGGAACTCTTACCTTTCACAACAGCATGGCTATAACTGGAGAGCTTTATGGTAAGCAAAATAAGCCAGGCAGTGAAAGACAAATACCATATGATCTCACCTATAAGGGCAATCTAATGAACAAAATAAACTAATGAGCAAAATGGAACCAGAGACATGGAAACATAGAACAAACTGACAACAACTAGAAGGGATAGGGGAAGGGAATAATGGTAGGCATAAGAGGAAGGACAAGTCAAAGAACATGTACAAATGACCCATGGACATGGGCAGTAGTGTGGGGATTGACTGGGAGTGGGGGGCGAGCTGGGTGAAGGAGGGCAAAGGGGGCCAATTGAAACAACTGTAATAGAATAACAATTAAAAATTAATAAATAATAGAATGAAAGAATAGAATTGTCATTTGATAGTTTACTGAGGATAAAACATTGGTCCCAGTACAAGCAGGAAACTTATCAAAGTTCAGTAAGGTGGCTTCCAAACCATAAGCCTAGTTCTGAGTTACAGATGCTTTATGTTTAGCCAGAGTTCAGGACCCTGGACAATTGCATGTTATTTGAAAAGCTCTGGACTCAATATAAGATTCTGTGTTCCAGTCTTGACTCCTGCACGGACTTCCTCTGTAACCTCGAGCAAGTCACTTCCCTTCCCATCATCTTTAATTTCCTCATTGAAAAATAGGAATATATCATGAAGAGTATTAAAAGATTCAAATGAAAGCTTGCATATAAAGCTACCCTGAAATGCAGAAAAAGCATAGCACCTATATAAAGCAAGCTTCTTACTATTCACAGGATACTGAAGGACAAAGATGTACAGTCCAAAGTTCTTGAAAGTATATATGAAGAAAAGCAAGTGTCTTAGCCCAGGTCTTACCCATAAGCCTTAGGTAAATGTGTTGACAGTATCCCCCTTGGGCTAGATAGTGGGCTTGGGGACACCAGGGACTTAATAGAGCTAGATTGGGAGGTCAAGGGATGTCAAAGATGTAACTACTGAAATGATAGGATATATGAAACATAATTATATATATGGACACAGATACTACACACACACACATATGCATCCCACATCTATAATATGCCAAGCACTTTGCTAAATCAATATATATGGTATATATAATATCATTTAATCCTCACAATAATACTGTGAAATTAGTATGATTATCATCCCTAGCATATAGATAAAGAAACTGAGGCTTAGAGACTAATTTGCTTTTTTTTTCATGGTCACTTAGCTAGCAAGAGGAACCAATATTTGAACACAGGTCTAGTGTTACTCCAAAGCCTGTACCCATAACCACCAGTCATTTAATTGATGGCCATAGAATCCTCTGGGTGAATGAGCCTCCTGATACCTTCCTTCCCTTGTGCTGTAGGTCTAGGTCCAGGCTGTAGCTCAGCCACTAGAGGGTGCTGCCTCTCCTGCTGTTAATGGACACTAGTTGAATTACTAGCAACTTGGAGCTGAGTCTTCTCTTCCAGATGTGGAACACTTCTCCAAGAATCCAGAGCCTGGTCCCACCTTGTTCTTGTGCTTTCCATTAATCCTTTGAAATCCACACTTGGCCCCAGGCCCCAGGTGTTTCCAGTGATGGGAAAAGATATGACTTAGCATGACAGTTTGTATGCTTCTCTTTCATGAAGGCCACAGGACACCAGGCGAGCTGCTTATCCCTATAGGACTCTCAGGGCTTCTTTGGGAAAATGAGTACAAGGGTAGGAAGGGCCTAGTAGTTAAAAGCCAGCACTCTGTACCTACACTGTAACCAGGAGTTTCCCATTAGCATCCCCACTTCACCTCTCTGAGCCTATTCCCTACCTGTAAACATAAGGATGGGACAACCCATCCTTCTTGGGGTCTGGCAGAACTTGTTTGGGATAAAAAGTACCGAGCTTAGTGTGTGGTACACCATGGGAGTGCTTGGCAATTGGGGCAATTCTTTGCACTGGGCTGAGACTGCAGACCAAAAGAAATACCACACTCAGCCAGGTCTCATTGCACTCAGAGGCCATGGAGCTGAACAGCAAAAGTCCTCATCTGCCCTCTCTTTTGGTAGCCCTGTGACTGCAGCCCAGGTTCTGTGACAGCCTGTCACTGCCTCACAGGATGCCTGCAAACATCCTTCTCTTGGTGACACCTTTCAGTGGAACTCAGCTTTTCCTGGCCCAGAATTGTTCCTAACCTCTGACTTACTTCCCTCCAGCCAGAACTGCAACATTTTCTCTCCTGCCTTCCAAGAGATTTAATTGCTCACTAAATCCTGTGGATTTCACCTCCTGAAAGCACTGAGCTCTGGAATGAGTTGAACCTGAATGTTGTCTTTTATCATTGGTGTAACCTAGGGCAAGTGCTGAAATCTCTCAACTCATGTCTCCATCATTTTATGCATGGTGTGACCTAGAGAAAATTTCTTAACCTAGGTAAAGCTTAGTTTCCTCATCTATAAAATGAAGATAATCCTAGTACTGTGACAGGACATAGCTGAACAGTAGCCATTCTTAGGTGGGAGTGACCAGCAGCCGTTCCCAGACAGCAGCCTTAATCTGGATAAGCAGTTATCTCAAGGTCATACACTAACCTTCGCTTTCTGCTTCTGTATGCTTGCTTTTAGCAGTTGTCCCACCCCCCCCCACCTTTTTGCCTTGTAACAAGAATATAAGCAAACTCTAGCTTAAACTTGGGGCCCAGAATTTGGAATTTATCTCCGCATGCATGAATAAACCCCATTTTGCAAACTCCAAGGCCATCTGAGTCGTCTTTTCCGTAACATTTTGGTTCCCTGACCAGGAATCAACTCATGCGAGCAGGCTGATTGCCTCTGGTGAAGGCAGCTGTGGGGCAGCTGGTGGGGCCTGGAGGTGATAAGGAGGCATGGGCCCTGGTGATTTCGGGTCCTGAACATCCCGGGCTCTGTGGGCTCAGCCCCGGACCACTCTTTGACCCAGGCTGGCTGGGTACAAACTGATGGAATCTGGGAAGACACCAATCTGGTAAGTGCCCCAGGGAGCAGGAGCTCGAAAACCAGGCCCACTCTTGTAGTGGAAGTAGGGACTGATCACCCCTCAGGCCGGAAGGCCCAGGCAGGGCTCCCACAGTTCAGGCGGGTGGGAACATAATAAATTCGGTGTGTTTGTGTGAATGACTGTGTTTGTTGCTCCATGGGTGGAAGCCTACGGAGCGTGAGTGAGCCCTAACCTGCGGTTGCTTGGTCTGTCATACCGCATAACGGCTGGGAGTTTAACCTGGATTCTACACGGGCAGCCTTAGCTACGATGGACCTAAGTACACCGAGAGGGCAGAGGCCAGGTGGGCGACATGAGAGTCCCTTCCCTTGTCTGTCTGTGCCAATCGAGAGGAATCGTCATGGGGGGAGGGGTGTCTTCCACAGTTCTGGACTGTATATTACAGAATTTTGATCGGTTTAGGGGCCAGGACCCGAGCATGGATGCGGGTCAATTAGAGACTTTTTGTTCATCTGAGTGGCCAATTTTTGGGGTAGGCTGACCCCCTGAAGGCACCCTGAATCTAGGCATCATACGGGCGGTCCATCTCATAGTTACAGGCAAGCCAGGTCACCCTGACCAGTTTGTTTATATTGACAACTGGCAGGAATTAATGCAGGACATGCCAGGGTGGCTCCAGCGCTGTGTGAAGCATTCAGTCAAGGCATCTGGCCATGCGGGAGACCCACAAAAGGCGGGCCGGCCACGCTGTACTCGAGGCTCTCAATGCATGACCTCAGCCTGAGTGCTCATAACCCAAGCACGCTGACCTATTTTTAAGGGAGATCTGGAGGGAGAGGTCCCGGTGACTCTTCCACCCCCGTACGCTCTTGGAGCATGGGAACCCTCTCAAGCCTTAGAAACCCCACCTCCTTCGGTGCCTCTGGCAGAACCCAGTGCATCCTCAGCCTCCCCAGTCACCAATCGATTGTGCAGCCATCCAGGGCTACAACTACCGCTCAGGGAGACTCAAGCTCCACCGTACATGGGCTTCGATGGCACGGAGCAACCAGGTCGAACTGTGGTTTATTATTAGCCATTTACCACAACTGACCTCCTTAATTGGAAACATCATATTCCCTCCTATTCTGAAAAACCGCAGGCTCTGGTTGACCTTATGGAGTCTATCATGCAGACTGATGGCCCAACTTGGTATGATTGTCGGCAGCTCCTACTTACTCTGTTCAACATGGAGGAGCCCCGATGCATTATACAAGAGGCACACCATCACCTGGAAGTAAATGCCCCTGTGGGGACCCTAGACCCTATCCAGTGGGCCCAACTAGCAGCCCCTGAGACCCAGTCAGACTGGGACCACAACATAGAGGAAGGACGAGTGGCCCTGGCCCATTACCATGATACATTACTCCATGGAATCCGTACCAGGGCATGGAGACCCACCAATATGTCCAAGGTGGCGAACGTCACTCAAAGTCTAGACGAGTGTCCAGGCGATTTTCTTAAGTGGCTGTATGAAGCCTACCACATCTACAGTCCTTTTGATCCAGAGAGCCCCAACAACCAGTGGATGGTCAATATGGCCTACATCTCACAGTCGGCCCCAGACATCCAAAAGAAACTCCAGAAACTTGAGGGTTTTGCTGGGATGAATATAAGCCAGCTAGTCGAGGTTGCTAACAAGGTTTACAACAATAGGGAGGAAGTTGCCCAGAGGGAGACACACAAGAGAATGGAAAAGAAGGTGGCCCTTCTGGCTACAGCCCTCAGGCGCCCTCCACTGGACAAGGAAGGTGAAAGAAGAAGGGAGGGAGCAGGGCACTGGAGAGTAGAGAAGACCAGTGTACTTACTGTAAGGAGAGAGGGCATTGGAAAAGGGAGTGCCTGAATCGGAAGAAGAAACTCCCCAAGCAAAAGGAAAAGGGTGCAGTTCCCTCTATCCTTCACTTGGCCGGGCTGGACTCAGACTGAGTAAGACTGGGCTCTCTGAATCTAGGCCCCCCGTGAACCCATGGTCAAAATAAAAGTGGGGGGCCACAGCCTACCATTCATGGTAGATACCAGCGCAGAACACTCAGTTGTAACGACCCTGGTGGCTCCACCATCGAGGCAAGAAATCACCATTATAGAGGCCACCAGACGCCCTAGTAGCCCTAAAATATTTTGCCAAGCCCACACTGTAGAGCTAAGGGGACATACCATAAGGCACGAGTTCCTCTACCTACCTGAATGCCCCATTCCGTTATTGGGACGTGATCTACTCACAAAGCTCGGAGCACGGGTCATCTTCCAGCCTTCTGGGGAAGCCCACCTGCAGGTACAGACCCCGAGCATCCTGGCTGTAGTCCTCCTGAGGGAGGAAGAGTACTGGCTTCACTGGGAGGACACAGGGAACACAAGTGAGATGGAACCAGGGCTGGGACTGAAGGCCCAGCTACGGGAAGAATATCCTAAGGTCTGGGCTGAAGGCAACCCACCCGGATAAGCTAAAACCCAGACCCCGGTAGTCATAGAACTCAAGCCAGGGATTAAGCCCCTCCACCTGCGGCAGTATCCCCTGTCCTGAGAGGCTCATCTGGGGATTTCTGAGGTCATCCGCAGATACCTATGGGATGGAATACTAGTCCCCTGTCAGTCCCAGTGGAATACCCCTTTTCTGCCAGTCAAGAAGCCAGACAGGAGCGGGTATCGGCCCATCCAGGATCTGCGGGCCATCAGCGACGCAGTTGTAACCCTCCACCCCAGTGTCCCAAATCCATACACCCTCCTGCCTCAAGGGCAACGTGGTTTACCTGCCTTGATCGGAAGGATTCCTTTTTCTGCATTCCTGTGGCACCTTCCAGCCAACCCATTTTTGCTTTCAAGTGGGAAGACCCACACACTGCAGTCAAGACTCAATTGACCTGGACTAGACAGCCTCAGGGGTTTAAGAACTCCCCAACTTTATTTGGGGAGGCCCTAGCAAGAGATCTGAAGCCTTTTGCCAGAGGGGAGCTGAACCTGACGATTTTACAGTATGTGGAAGATCTCCTCCTGGTGGCCCCATCCCGGGAATGGTGCTGGGAGGGAATGTGCATGCTGCTGAAGCGCCTGGCTGAATTAGGGTATCGGGTGTCCTGGAAGAAGGCACAGGTCATCCAGAAACAAGTAAAATACTTAGGGTTCCTCATCTCACGGGGAAAGAGGGCCCTGAGCACTGAGAGGAAGGCTGTCATAGCCCAATTCCCTCCCCCCCACACACTGGACGGGAATTGCAGGAATTTCTTGGGGCAGCTGGATTTTGTCGAATATGAATGCCAGGATTCACCACTATGGCAAGGCCCCTCTACCAGGCCCTAAAGGGTCCGGATACCAAGCCCCTAGAATGGGGAGAAAAATGAGGAAAAAGCCTTCCAAGATATCAAGGGGCTCCTCAGTGATGTTCCTGCTCTAGGACTGCCAGATCCGGGGCAGCCATTTAATCTGTATACCCACGAGAGAGACAAGGTAGCCCTTAGGGTCCTGACCCAGCCTGTCAGACCATGGCAACACCTGGTGGCTTATCTGTCTAAGCAATTGGACAATGTCGCCGCCGGCTGGCCACCTTGTCTGAGGGCAGTCACTGCTGCCATGATTCTCTTGCAAGAGGCAAACAAGTTAACTCTAGGTCAAGAAATCAGTCTTCACGTACCACACACAGTGAACAGTCTCCTTGCCAGGCAGGGACATAAGTGGCTGTCAAATCCTCGATTGACTCAGTACTAGGGCATTCTCCAGGGGAACCCGAGGGTACAAGTTAAGACCCTGAAACGAGTCAATCCGGCCACCTACTTACCAGCAGAGTTTGGAGAGCCGGACCATGACTGTCTTGAAGTAACCAAAGAGGTCCATGCCAGCCGGCCAAACCTCCGGGAGGAGCCCCTGGCCCGACCTGATGTCACCTACTTCACGGATGGGAGCAGCTATATTGTTGGGGGCAGGAGAGTCGCCAGGTATGTGGTTGTGGATGACTGTGGGATAATAGAGGCCAAAGCACTGCCAGCAGGATGGTCAGCACAGAGGGCCGAACTGTGGGGGCTAATAAGGGCTTTGGAGTTGAGCCAAGGCAGGAAAGTCAACATTTACACAGACTCTAAGTATGCCTTTGCCACCCTCCACATTCATGGTGCTATATACCAAGAGTGAGGGTTGTTGATAGCAGAAGGAAAAGAGATAAAGAATAAACAAAAAATACTCCAGCTACTAGAAGTGGTATGGGCACCTGTTGAGGTGGCCGTCATGCACTGCAAAGGCCACTGTAAGCCTGATACCACAGTCACCTGGGGAAATCAGAAAGCAGACCAGGCTGCCAAGGCGGCTGCGCTTGGGGCAGATCAGGCAAAAATGACTGCTCCACTGTTAGGCCCCCTCCTGGACATTCAAGTCAGCCCAGAGGACTGTGTTCCTGCAGAAGTAGAGTGGGCATGCCAGGCCGGGTGTAAAAAGACCCCCAGAGGGGAGTGGAGGCTGCCAGATGGGAAAATTTACATACCACAGGGGCAAGCTAGCAATCTAGTAAGGCAATGCCATGCTCTCACACACATGGGCAAGACCTCCCTAGAAAATCTGCTGAAGAGGTATTTTTATTTCCCCAACCTGGTAGCACTTTGTGCTTCTGCCTCAGCACAATGCATAGCATGTGCTCGGGATAACGCTGCCAGGAACCCAGGGATGAGGGCGGGAATACAACACACAGGCAGACAACCCTTTGAGGATCTACAAATAGATTTCACTGAAGTCAAGCCAAGCTGAGGGTTTAAATACCTCCTGGTAATCCTGTGCACCTTCTCTGGATGGGTTGAGACTTTCCCCACTAAAACGGAGAAAAGCCGGGAAGTCACCCGAGCATTACTGAGGGAAATCATCCCAAGGTATGGATTGCCTCTAACCATTGGAAGTGATAATGGGCTGGCCTTCATCTCACAAGTAATCCAAGAAGCAGACAAATTTCTGAACATCACGTGGAAGCTGCACACCGCCTATCGACCCCAGAGCTCTGGGAAAATAGAGCGGATGAACCAGACTCTTAAAGAAACCTTAGCTAAATTTCACCAGGAAATTGGACTGCCCTGGACGGACTTGCTACCGCTAGCTTTGCTTAGGGTTAGAAACGCCCCTAACCCCTCAGGATATTCTCCATATGAACTAGTTTTTGGGAGACCTCCCCCAGTTCTCAGCATATGAAAGGGGGGACTCTGGTCGCAAGGTGAATTAGGGCAGACAAAATATCTCCAAAAGCTAGGGGAAACTTTAGGGAAGATAAACGGGGCTGGTTTGGGCCAGAGACCCCTACCCCAAGGGGGGCCAGCACACTCCTTTAAACCGGGAAGTTATGTATGGGTAAAGGACTGGAAAAAAGAACCATTTCAACCTTTGTGGACCAGGCCACATTTGGTGTTACTAACGACCCCAACTGCCCTTAAAGTTACAGGAATCACCCCTTGGATCTACTACAGCCGGGCCAAAGCAGCAGCAGATCCTGAGGACTCAAAGACCAAGCCTGCACCCAGACTACCACACTGAGGCTCCAGAGGACACCAACCAGTGGAGAAGACACTGGGGGATGGAACGTTGCTCTGCTGGGTTCCTGACTATAACCAGCATCTTCGCAGGAGTATTGGAAATTGGACTAGTGACTGTGACCCCAGCAGAATGGAGTCCCAGGGAGCAAATCGCCCTAGAAGTAGTTTATCTCTGTTTAGTCTCTATAATTGGATGTATTGTAAGCTTCGTTTGACAAATGCAGGATCTATCTCAGCCCCAGTCTGTAAATGTAGTGCCCCCGCACATAGGATTAGGCTCGGCAGTGGAGTGATGACCTACACCCTTCCAGCCGTAGCTTTCACCTCCTCCACCTCCATGCCATCAGGTTTCGTTCGGCCACAGCCCCAATTCCTCTGTACTTGGGGAGGGAAATTATACCAGACTGGAGTAATGGAAGGAACTGTAGGACACCAGTCCCAAAAGTGTCAGGGACACGGATACCCCGGCCAACAAGTATGTTGGAACTATTAGCACCAGCTGTGTGCAATGAGCCAGACAGAGTTTGAACAGGCTAAG